TTCTGCTTCTCTGTTTTCTATACTTTAACTAAATGTTTCATATTTTTTCCTGTGCCTTTAGATAAATTGACAACTTTATTTTTTATTTTATATTTCAAGGAAAAAGAGGTATAGAGACCATCCCAGCAATGAGTTATAAAATCATGCTTTATTTATCTTGTTTTTAAAAAAATTTTTATTGTAATTTGGGTGAAAGTTTTCAGAGCAAATCATTTTCCATACAACAGTTCATAACATTTTATTCCATGACCTTGACTTTAATTCCTTATTATGTAACAGTTCTCTTTGCACTTCCTCCTTGTAGTTACCTCTTGCCTGTATCCTTCCCTCTCATGCAATCCTGCCCCCTGAGCAGTGTCCCTGTGCAAATACTACTTTTCTATTTTCCCATGATTGATCACTCCAAGGAGTATATCTACCTGATGTACATGTCCACCCCATATGTCTGTCTATTGTTTGCCTGGAAGCCACAGGAGTGAGTTCAGTTCCAGACCTGAAGGGTAACTAGGGGTCATAGTCTCAGGGGTCTCACCAGGTTCTATTAGACCAGCAAACCTGTTTTTTTTTTTTTTTTCTTATGATTTTAAGTTTTGTTCCACATTGTTCTCCCACTCTATTCAGGATCTCCTACATAGATCTCCCTCCAAGTGGTTGAGAGTGGTAGCCAGGCACTATCTAGTTCTTCTGGTCTCATGGTCATATAGGCTGAGGATTGCATGATCTACCAGTCTCTTGGACTAATTGTTTCCATGTATCTTTTGTTTTCTTCATTCTTTGCTCTGGACTAGGAGAGATCCATCGTTGCCTCTAGATGGCCGTTTGCAATCTTGTAAACCCTAGTTGCTATTCACCAAAGTAGGATGTAGAACAATGTTTTCGTGTAGATGTTGTGCCAATTGAGCTTGATGTCCCCTGTGACCATGGTCCTGAGCCCACAGGTCCAACTTCTCACTCCCTCATGTTTGCTGGCTGTGGCCAAAAAGCCACCACAACCTTGCCCCTTGTTAGCTCTACTATACACCCAGGCATTCTTACAGCACATACAATACACATGTAGAAACATTGTCTGCTAACCCTAGACATGGTCATGGGCATACTCCCCTCTGCCAAGACATACCTGATGGTTCAGCCTGTCCACCCATCTATCTACTGTGGATCAATGCTGACAATGCAGTACTGTACATCCAAAAGGGTTCATCTTTCTTGTCTGTAACTCTCATTTACCTCTCAATGGCTTCCTTCCCTTAATGCCACCATGTTGATCACTCACTTTTGGTATATTGCCCTTCCCCTCACCCAAATCAATACTTGTGCCTACCTATGTAGAGCTCTGGTAGCATAGGGCCTAAGGCACTTCACTGCTAACCAGAAGGCGGGTGGTTCAAACCCACCAGCCACTCCTTGGAAGGAAGTTTGGGCAATCTACTTCTGTAGTGATACTGCCTCAGAAATCCAAGGAGGGCTCACTATGAGTTGGGTCTGACTCGATGGCATGTAACAACAACAACAACAACAATCTAGCAGTGATCACTTCCCTCCCCTCCCATTTCTGGTAACCAACAAAGAAAGCTTCATTCCATGTATAAACCTTTCCTTGACTTTTTACAATAGTGAACTAATGCAATATTTGCCCTTCTGTGATTGACTTATTTCACTCAGCATAATGTCCTCCAAGTTCATCCACATTACGTGGTGTTTCACAGATACTACGTTATTCTTTAGG